TTTGAGCCTGCCACTTTTGGACTCTCCCTTGCTGAGGTGTTCCAGTGAGTGTCTCTGTAGATCTTAGAAAACTATTTCTAGATTTAAGTCGTTGACGTGCTGGCTGATACCCAAACAGGGGATGAGCTGGAGATGTCTCTGCCTTGGTCCTTTCACTATTGGTTGCCACTTCCCGGCGGATGTCAGGTGGTGCAATACCGGCTAGACAGTGTAATTTCTCCAGTGGTGTAGGGCGCAGACACCCCGTGATAATGCGGCATGTCTCATTAAGAGCCACATCCACTGTTTTAGTGTGGTGAGATGTGTTCCACACTGGGCATGCATACTCAGCAGCAGAGTAGCATAGCGCAAGGGCAGATGTCTTCACTGTATCTGGTTGTGATCCCCAGGTTGTGCCAGTCAGCCTTTGTATGATATTGTTTCTAGCACCCACTTTTTGTTTGATATTCAGGCAGTGCTTCTTGTAGGTCAGAGCACAGTCCAGAGTGACTCCCAGGTATTTGGGTGTCGCTGCAATGCTCCAGTGGGATTACTTCCCAGGACATCCTCAGAGCTCGGGATGCTTGTCTGTTCTTGAGATGAAAGGCACACGTCTGTGTTTTAGATGGGTTCGGAATTAGCTGGTTTCCCCTGTAATAGGCAGTAAGAGCACCTAGAGCTTTGGAAAGCTTCTGTTCAACCATCTCAAAACTCCCTGCTTGAGCAGTAATGGCACGATCATCAGCATAGATGAAACTCTCTGTCCCTTCTGGCAGTGGCTGGTCATTTGTGTAGATGTTGAACATGGATGTATAATATCACAAAGGACTACCGTCTCACCCGCCTCATAGGAAACCTGCTACAAAACAGGAGCTTTTTTGTTGAGTTCCAGGGCCAGAGAAGCAGAAACAGAAGAACGGCCTGCCTCAGGGGAGCGTGCTTGCTTCAACATTAGTACCAAAGGGTTAAAAAACGGTTTTTGTTCAACTTTAGATTTGGTTATCTGGGGTGCCGATTCAGAAAACTGCATTGGGTAGACCACATCAGCTCTAGTTTCTGATACCGAACTTATGTCATCCAGTAGTCGCCACCTGCTCACCCACATTTTTAATAATAAGAGCTGCTCTCGTTGCAACTGTATAGTAACGGTGAGGCCGCAGACCATATTTTAGTTCTTGCAAACCATTTGTAGTCCACAGACCGTGGGTTGGGAACCACTGGACTAGATAGCCTTTTGGGGTCCCTTCCAACTCTGCCTGGGAGTTTGGTGGCGCCTCCTTCTTTGTAAACAGAGGTAACAGCCCTCTGTCAGGAGTGCTTTGATTGTGCCTTCCTGCCTGGCAGGAGGGGGTTGGACTAGATAGCCTTTGGGGGTCCCTTCCAACTCTGCCTGGGAGTTTGGTGGCGCCTCCTTCTTTGTAAACAGAGGTGACGACCCTCTGTCAGGAGTGCTTTGATTGTGCCTTCCTGCCTGGCAGGAGGGGGTTGGACTAGATAGCCTTTGGGGGTCCCTTCCAACTCTGCCTGGGAGTTTGGTGGCGCCTCCTTCTTTGTAAACAGAGGTGACGACCCTCTGTCAGGAGTGCTTTGATTGTGCCTTCCTGCCTGGCAGGAGGGGGTTGGACTAGATAGCCTTTGGGGGTCCCTTCCAACTCTGCCTGGGAGTTTGGTGGCGCCTCCTTCTTTGTAAACAGAGGTGACGACCCTCTGTCAGGAGTGCTTTGATTGTGCCTTCCTGCCTGGCAGGAGGGGGTTGGACTAGATAGCCTTTGGGGGTCCCTTCCAACTCTGCCTGGGAGTTTGGTGGCGCCTCCTTCTTTGTAAACAGAGGTAACAGCCCTCTGTCAGGAGTGCTTTGATTGTGCCTTCCTGCCTGGCAGGAGGGGGTTGGACTAGATAGCCTTTGGGGGTCCCTTCCAACTCTGCCTGGGAGTTTGGTGGCGCCTCCTTCTTTGTAAACAGAGGTGACGCCCTCTGTCAGGAGTGCTTTGATTGTGCCTTCCTGCCTGGCAGGAGGGGGTTGGACTAGATAGCCTTTGGGGGTCCCTTCCAACTCTGCCTGGGAGTTTGGTGGCGCCTCCTTCTTTGTAAACAGAGGTAACAGCCCTCTGTCAGGAGTGCTTTGATTGTGCCTTCCTGCCTGGCAGGAGGGGGTTGGACTAGATAGCCTTTGGGGGTCCCTTCCAACTCTGCCTGGGAGTTTGGTGGCGCCTCCTTCTTTGTAAACAGAGGTAACAGCCCTCTGTCAGGAGTGCTTTGATTGTGCCTTCCTGCCTGGCAGGAGGGGGTTGGACTAGATAGCCTTTGGGGGTCCCTTCCAACTCTGCCTGGGAGTTTGGTGGCGCCTCCTTCTTTGTAAACAGAGGTAACAGCCCTCTGTCAGGAGTGCTTTGATTGTGCCTTCCTGCCTGGCAGGAGGGGGTTGGACTAGATAGCCTTTGGGGGTCCCTTCCAACTCTGCCTGGGAGTTTGGTGGCGCCTCCTTCTTTGTAAACAGAGGTGACGACCCTCTGTCAGGAGTGCTTTGATTGTGCCTTCCTGCCTGGCAGGAGGGGGTTGGACTAGATAGCCTTTGGGGGTCCCTTCCAACTCTGCCTGGGAGTTTGGTGGCGCCTCCTTCTTTGTAAACAGAGGTAACAGCCCTCTGTCAGGAGTGCTTTGATTGTGCCTTCCTGCCTGGCAGGAGGGGGTTGGACTAGATAGCCTTTGGGGGTCCCTTCCAACTCTGCCTGGGAGTTTGGTGGCGCCTCCTTCTTTGTAAACAGAGGTGACGACCCTCTGTCAGGAGTGCTTTGATTGTGCCTTCCTGCCTGGCAGGAGGGGGTTGGACTAGATAGCCTTTGGGGGTCCCTTCCAACTCTGCCTGGGAGTTTGGTGGCGCCTCCTTCTTTGTAAACAGAGGTGACGACCCTCTGTCAGGAGTGCTTTGATTGTGCCTTCCTGCCTGGCAGGAGGGGGTTGGACTAGATAGCCTTTGGGGGTCCCTTCCAACTCTGCCTGGGAGTTTGGTGGCACCTCCTTCTTTGTAAACAGAGGTAACAGCCCTCTGTCAGGAGTGCTTTGATTGTGCCTTCCTGCCTGGCAGGAGGGGGTTGGACTAGATAGCCTTTGGGGGTCCCTTCCAACTCTGCCTGGGAGTTTGGTGGCGCCTCCTTCTTTGTAAACAGAGGTAACAGCCCTCTGTCAGGAGTGCTTTGATTGTGCCTTCCTGCCTGGCAGGAGGGGGTTGGACTAGATAGCCTTTGGGGGTCCCTTCCAACTCTGCCTGGGAGTTTGGTGGCGCCTCCTTCTTTGTAAACAGAGGTGACGACCCTCTGTCAGGAGTGTTTTGATTGTGCCTTCCTGCCTGGCAGGAGGGGGTTGGACTAGATGCCCTTTGGGGGTCTCTTCCAACTCTAGGATGCTATGATTTGTGGGTGCAGGTAGTTGTGTATGGAGCAAACTTCACATTTCACATTGTGTCTTGCTGCTTTTCCTTTGCAGACAATAAAGGATTCTCCGGAAGCCAAGTCTCAAATAGAAAATAAAATTTTAATTGTCCTGCAGCGCAGCTTGTCACAAGGCTGTGTCCCACCTGCTCTTTGGCGCCAAGGGACAGCCACCTTTGGAGCTGTTTCCCCCCATAAAAGACCCCAAGAGCTTCGGGAAAGGGAGGGAGGCCAAAGCAGCGCCCCACCAGGGGTTGATTTTGGACCCAAAGGAAAGAAGGTGCTGCTGTTAAGGCAAGGCGGGCGAGGGGAGGACCCCCCACAGGCCGGGAATGAAGCAGCCCCTCCAGAAAGGAATGAGGAAAAGTATGAGGATGATGAGGATGATGAGATTCAGGGCCACTCATGGCTTGGGCCCCTGGAGTGGAAGAGAGTGGCAGTCGTCCAGTATGTGCACACCTGCATTCGCATGAATACATATGCATACACACATATATGCATATGCATTAATCCTTATGCACATACATATGCACGTACATGTACACACATGTATTAATACTTATGCACATACATATATGCATATGCATTAATACTTAAAATGCATATGCACACACATAATCATACATATGCATATACACATACATACATTTGCATTAATACTTATGCACACACATGTGTATACATATGCATTAATACTTATGCACATACATGTACACACATGCATTAATATTTATGCACATACATATACATACATATGCATGCACATGTACACACATATGTATTAATACTTATGCATACACATATTACATACATATGCAACAATGTTTGCACACATATACATATGCATTAATCCATATGCACACATATGCATACATATGTATTAATACTTATGCACACTCATATTACATACATATATGCATATGCCTTAGTACTTATGCACACGCATATACATACATATGCATTAATCCTTATGCACACATAGGCATCAATGCATATGCACACACAGTCATACATATGCATATACACATACATGCATTAATACCTATGCACATACATATACACACATATGCACACACATGTACACATATGTATTAATATTTATGCACACACATATTACATACATATATGCATATGCATTAATACTTATGCACACACATATACACATATATGTAGTAATGCATATGCACACCCATAATCATACATATGCATATACACATACATTTGCATTAATGCATATGCACACACGTGTATACCTATGTATTAATACATATGCACACATGTACAAACATGCATTAATATTTATGCACATACATATTACATACATATGCAACAATGTTTGCACATACATATACAAATGCCTTACTCCACATGCACACATATACATACATATGCATTAATCCATATGCCCACAGCAGGTCAGTGGACTGGGAGAATGTGTTGGCTTGGCCTGGCCATTCAAGTGCTAGCTGGACACTCACCAAAGATCACATTGGCGCCGTAAGGCCACACAGAGTGATGGTCAACACTTCCTGGGACCCCCAGGATTTGTGGGAAGGCGCATGGGTGTGTGCGCACCATATAAGAAAAGGCCAGAGAAGAAGCGGAGAGCTCAGTGGCCGGACTGGACAATGGGTGTCCGGGGCAGGGAGGGATTTCTCCCAAAAGTCTGGGGAAGCCTCCCTCGCCCCCTTAAGTGCCAAAATGCAGCCGGAGGGTCCTTTTGGGGGGACCCCTGGTTCAGGCCGCGCAGTTGTCCACGCAGTCCTTCCCGCTCTGGAAGAGGTGGTAGATGCTGGTGAGGGGGAACATGGCCAGGGCCCCCACCAAGGAGCCGGCCTGGATGACCGCCCCGCACCAGACCAGGGCCGAGTGTCCGGCCTCGTGGAGCAGGCTCCCAATCACCACCTTCAGGTAGGAGAAGAGGCCCAGGAAGAGCGTCCAGGAGACAATCTGCAAGAGAAGGACGCGCAGCGTCAGCCTCGGGTCCCATCCCTCGCCACTTGGACATACGTACACATTAATAGCCATGCACGCACATACCCATACACAGGCATTAATACTTCTGCACACACACACACATATATACACATATGTGTTGATTCTTAATCATATACATGCATATGGATGCATTATTACTTATGCACATGCCTATACATAATATGCAATAATTATGTACATGCATATACATACATAGGTATTAATGCACATGCCTATACAGATACATGCATTAATAGTTATGCATGTACATATCCATACATATGCATTCGTACTTCTGTGTGCGTGCACACAATGCATTAATACATATGCACACACATATACATGCACATGCATTAATACTTATGCACATATATATGTTGATACTTAAGCACACACATATACATAAAATGTATTAATACTTATGTACATGCATATACATACACATGCATTAATAGTTATGCATGTACATATCCATACATATGCATTCATACTTCCGTGCGCGTGCACACACATGCATTAATACACATGCACACACATATACATGCACATGCATTAATACTTATGTACACGCATACATAAAATGTATTATTACTTACGTACTTGCATATACATACACATGCATTAATAGTTAGGCATGCACATACCCATACATATGCATTCATACTTCTGTGCATGTGCACACACATGTATTAATACACATGCACACACATATACATGCACATGCATTAATACTTATGCACATATATATGTTGATACTTAAGCACACACATACACATAATATGAATGAATACTTATATACATGCATATACATACATATGTATTGATGCACATGCATAAACATACACATGCATTAATAGTTATGCATGTACATATCATATGTATGCATTAATACTTCTGCCCTGCGCACACACATGCAATAGATATGCACACACACATATATATATGCATTTATACTTTTGCACACACATGTACGTGCATATGCATTAATATTTATGCACATGCATATGCATACATGTGCATCAATACTTATGCTCAGACAAATACAAATGTATGCATTAATATTTATGCACACAAATATTCTTACATATGCACATAGACATAGATGCATAAGCATTAATTGATAGTAACTGTTATGGTTACTATCACTAATATATATATATATACATACACACACACACATACACATACACACACACACACACACACATACATATATATGGAGTTAAGCAGTGCAAGGGGGAGCGCTGTTGGAAAGATAAGTTGCTGCCTTGAGGTGTGGAGGGTTTCGTTCAGGTCAACAAAAGCCCACCTTTGGTCCCTTCCTGACCACAGAAAACCGTCCCTTGGAGAAATAGACAAGCAATGCTCCCTCTCTCTGAACGTGGCCATAATGGCTACTATACTTACCACCAAGGTGGCTCCGGCGAGGCTCCCTACCAGCGGTGGGCAGGGGCTCAAGGCGGCCAGAACCATCAGGTAAGCAGCAAAGACGCACCCGGCTGCAGAAATGATGGTCAAGCCCACCAGTGACCTGGAAGGAAAAGAAGAGGCAAGCAATGCATTGGGGTGGCCACAACTGGAAACTCAGCTAGCCAGTCACTACTATAGGCATGGGCCAACTTCAGCCTTCTAGATGTTTTGGACTTCAAGACCCACAATTACCACACTGTCTCTTATTACTTTGCAACTGTAATGCAATGTCTGTGCGGATGTGCCTCCAGGTTGCCTGAAGACCTATGGAGGTGCCTTTGACACCGCCGCATTATCAGCAGTGGAACTCTCTGCCCCAGAGTGTGGTGGAGGCTCCTTCTTTGGAAACTTTTAAACAGAGGCTGGATGGCCATCTGTCAGGGGTGCTTTGAATGCAATATTCCTGCTTCTTGGCAGGGGTTGGACTGGATGGCCCATGAGGTCTCTTCCAACTCTTTGATTCTATGATTCTCTCTATCTTCTCTTCTTCAGGCTAAACAGACCCAGTTCTTTAAGCCGCTCCTCAGAGGGATTATTCATAGTCTCCAGACCTTTGATCCTTTTAGTCTTCCTCCTCTGGATCCCTTCTAGATTGAACTGTGGGGCCCAGAATTGGACACAGTATTCCAGGGGAGGTCTAACCAAAGCAGAATACAACAACAACAACAACAACAACAACAACAACAACAACAACAACAGCAGCAACATTTTATTTATATCCTGCTCCATCTTGCCATGGGGACGGCAAGCAATGGAAGTATGTGAGGGGAACTCATAGGGAGGAGGGAGCAGGCTTCCTTTCTGCTTCCATGGAGACTATGACGCAATGGAGCAATGGCTTCAAACTACAAGAGAGGAGATTCCATCTGAACATCAGGAAGAACTTCCTGACTGTGAGAGCCGTTCAGCAGTGGAACTCTCTGCCCCGGAGTGTGGTGGAGGCTCCTTCTTTGGAAGCTTTTAAACAGAGGCTGGATGGCCATCTGTCAGGGTGATTTGAATGCAATATTCCTGCTTCTTGGCAGAAGGGGGAGTTCTTCCTCATGTTCAGGTGGAATCTCCTTTCTTGTAGTTTGAAGCCATTGTTCCCTTGCGTCCTAGTCTCCAGGGAAGCAGAAAACAAGTTCACTTCCTCCTCCCTGTGGCTTCCTCTCACATATTTATACATGGCTATCATATCTCCTCTCAGCCTTCTCTTCTTCAGGCTAAACATGCCCAGCTCCTAAGCCGCTCCTCATAGGGCTTGTTCTCCAGACCCTTGATCATTTGAGTCGCCCTCCTCTGGACACAGTATTCCAGCGTGTCAATCTGTCTCTTGAATTGTGGTGCCCAGAATTGGACACAATATTCCAGATGTGGTCTAACCAAGGCAGAATAGAGCATGGGGAGCATGACTTCCCTAGATCTAGACACTATGCTCCTCTTGATGCAGGCCAAAATCCCATTGGCTTTTTTTGCCGCCACATCACATTGTTGGCACATGTTTAACTTGTTGTCCACGAGGACTCCAAGATCTTTTTCACACGTACTGCTCTCGAGCCAGGCATTGTCCCCCATTCTGTATCTTTGCATTTCATTTTTTCTGCCATTTTTTCTTCCATCTTGACATTTGGGAGTTGTATTTGATGGGAATTATAGTTCACCTACACTCAAAGAGCATTCTGAACCCCACCAACAATCGAATTGGACCAAACTTCCCACACAGAACCCCTATGACCAACAGAAAATACTATGTACAAATATGTTGTGACTCAGCTGGAACCACAGACACAGACTGATAGTGTTGTGACTCAGATGGGGTCTCAGAGTGATTCTGACGAGGATGATGGGATTCAGGTTCACAATCAGGTTCAAAATGTTCCTGTTGTGGACAATGAGGAACAGGGTGTGCAAGTTCAGTTTCCCACAGCAGGGAAGGATGTTGTTGATGCTGAAACTAGCCAGGTGCAAAGTGACTCAGAAAAGGAGGAGAGTTCTCAGCCTGAGAGTAGGCAGGAAGGCAACCAGGCCTGACTGTAAGGGATCACGGGTTTAGGGTGCAGGGTCCCTTTTCGAAGAAATCCACAGAGTCTAATTGGTTCATGTAAGACACCATTTATTCAAGCTAATCAGCATGAGACGGACAGTCATCACTTCTGTATGAGCTTTCAAAGACTGCCGCCCCCTCCTCTGTTTCTGCTGACCTTTATACTCAAGTTATAGGTCATGGAAAGTACTCTCTTTCCAGCCCCTCTCCCTTGACCTTTTGATGGAAAGTACCTTCTTGTACCTGCAGTCTCTGCCCTTAACCACAACCTTTGGCTTAACCACAACTCAACTTCCTATGTAAGCTTGAACTTTGTTTGACTTCTACATGTCAAATCTTGTTTCTTAAAAACATTTTCTTCTGTGTTGCTCTTTTTCTACAGAGAAAGGGTATATTTCTCTTTTGCTGTTAATTTCAATCAAAGCCCCTTGCTTAACATTTGCAAATTTCACTCAGCACTAACGAGCAGCCTGACCTTGAGGAAATGGGAACCTTAGAACGGGATGACCATTTGGAATTCAGAGTTCAAAGGAGTGTGAGAATAGCTAACTAGAAGGAGGCCAGAGAAATGCTTTCATGTATTGCAAAGGGTATTAAGCAGTGTGTTTGTAAACAAACCTTTGTCAGAGCAACTTTGCGCTCAACCGAGCAGCTTGTGCTCGTTTGCCTGGATTATCTTATAATTCTTTTATGAACTTTTATCTTTTATTTTTCAATAAACTACAAAGGACTTCAGTCTGTGTGCAGTTTTGGTGATTTCAGCAAGGTGAATCTACTCTGAGGTGCGACAATTGCCGACTGGAAGATGACAGGTTCAAATCCTGAGTCGGATTGAGCACCCGACTGTCAAGGCTAGCTTACTATCCACCTAAACAGTTCGAGAAGAGTAGAGAAATTAGGGACCGCTTAAAGAAGGGAAGTATTTTACGACACCATAAAAACGACTCACCGGCAGAGTAGGAACATGGCGAGGAAGCAGGCCACAGGGTTGGCGATGTTGCTGAGCACCACGGAGAGGTGGTAGGCCATGGCTCCATAGGGCAGGCAGGAGTAGGTCTGGACGGAGGGCAGGACCCCATTGGTGAGGGCGTTGGAGACCCCCAGAAGCACCAGCAGGAAGGCGTTCCGTCTCGTCCAGAAGGGGACGGCGACGACGTCGGTGCTGGGCTTGGGCGGGCTGCCCGCCACGTCCGCCGGGCCGCATTCGGAGGAGGGCGTGCTGTCCGTCTGCAGCGGGAAGGACTCCTCGGTGGCCACGCTCTCTTTGGAGGAGGCTTTCTCCCCGTTCCCTCCGTCACGTTCGTGCCACATCACCAGGGCTAGAAAGGCCAGCGCCGAAACGGCCAAGAGTCCCACCAAGAGCCAGAAGTACGTGGTGGCCGAGAAGTTCTCCTCCAGATAACGTGGGAAGGACGCGTTGGCGCCTTGCGTGGCGTTGGGGCACTCCAGCTGCCCCACCCCCTGCCCCAGAGCCAGGATGCAGGGCAGGAGGGCGCTCAGGCCCTGGCCGATGAAGAAGGTGCGGACGAAGAGCGGCGGGAAGCTGTACATGAAGGGCAGGAAGGAGACGTTGGAGGTGCAGCAGGCCAGGGCCAGGGCGAAGGCCAGCGCCAGGTAAGCCAGGCTGTGCGGCGCACCCCCCACCGTCGCCGTGTGCTCCCAGAAGGCCGCCAGCAGGATGGACGCCCCCACCAACAGCGCCTGGATCCCGTGGATCAGCCAGCGCTCCTTCAGCCGCCCCGGCGCAAAGTGGTGTGCCAGCGTCACGCTCACCGGGCCCACGTTCCCCAGCGCAATCAACACCGACAGGTAAGCCGGCAGGTTCCAGCCTGCAAGGAGAGGGAGCAGAACAAACGCCAGGTGAGCAGCGGCAGGAAGGATATCGGGTCCTATTTATTTATTTATTTATTTAGGTTAATCTGGCTGCCGCTCGCTGGACCAGTTGGAGTTTCCGAACAGTCTTCAAGGGCAACCCCACATAGAGTGCGTTGCAGTAGTCTATTCGGGATGTAACAAGAGCGTGGACCACTGTGCCGACATCACATAACAGTAGTATAAAACAATCTAGCAGCAATTAACAGTTAAGAAACAGTTTCTGCATATAACAATAAAACCAAGATAAAACCACTAAAAACCAATTGCACCTCATTAACGGTCAGCATTCGCCATCTCATAGTCCAGTTTCCAGTTCCACTTTGTCAGTCCTAATCGTCTGATTGTCCTTATCTAGTTGTCAGATTGCCCAAAGGCCTGGTCCCACAACCATGTCTTTACTTTCCTCCTGAAGGAGAGGAGGGAAGTTGATGACCTAATTTCCCCCGGGAGTGAGTTCCACAGGTGAGGGGCCACCACCGAGAAGGCCCTGCTCCTCGTCCCCACCAACCTCACTTGTGATAGGGGCGGGGTCGAGAGCAGGGCCTCCCCAGATGATCTCAAACTCCGTGGTGGGACATAGAGGGAGATACGTTCGGACAGGTACGCTGGACCGGAACCGTACAGGGTTTTGTAGGTCAAAACCAGCACCTTGAATTGGAACTGGACCGGCAACCAGTGGAGCTGACACAGCAGGGGGGTGGTGTGCTCCCTGTATGATGCTCACCGGAGTAATCTGGCTGCCGCTCGCTAAACCAGTTGAAGTTTCCGAACAGTCTTCAAGGGCAACCCCACGTAGAGTGCGTTGCAGTAGTCTATTCGGGATGTAACAAGAGCGTGGACCACTGTGGCCAGACACCTACACCAGGGACCAAACATGAAGACTGGAAGGATACGTGGTCCTACAAAGCAGAGGGCTGCGTAGTGTTGTGTGTTTGCCCCCCAAAGGTTCCTTCTTCGTGGCTTGATGGATCTGGACCAAACTTGGCACACAGAACCTTCACTACGCAATGACCCTTTGTTATGGAAGGATATCGGGTCCTATTTATTTATTTATTTAGGTTAATCTGGCTGCCGCTCGCTAAACCAGTTGAAGTTTCCGAACAGTCTTCAAGGGCAACCCCACGTAGAGTGCGTTGCAGTAGTCTATTCGGGATGTAACAAGAGTGTGGACCACTGTGGCCAGACACCTACACCAGGGACCAAACATGAAGACTGGAAGGATACGTGGTCCTACAAAGCAGAGGGCTGCGTAGTGTTGTGTGTTTGCCCCCCAAAGGTTCCTTCTTCGTGGCTTGATGGATCTGGACCAAACTTGGCACACAGACCCTTCACTACGCAATGACCCTTTGTTATGGAAGGATATCGGGTCCTATTTATTTATTTATTTAGGTTAATCTGGCTGCCGCTCGCTAAACCAGTTGAAGTTTCCGAACAGTCTTCAAGGGCAACCCCACGTAGAGTGCGTTGCAGTAGTCTATTCGGGATGTAACAAGAGCGTGGACCACTGTGGCCAGACACCTACACCAGGGACCAAACATGAAGACTGGAAGGATACGTGGTCCTACAAAGCAGAGGGCTGCGTAGTGTTGTGTGTTTGCCCCCCAAAGGTTCCTTCTTCGTGGCTTGATGGATCTGGACCAAACTTGGCACACAAACCAGCACACAATGACTCTTTAAGTTATGGAAGTCAGAAACAATGGCTCCTTACATTAAGGGAGAAAATAGCATCTGTTCCAGAACTGATGGAGCTCTAGCAAATCTTAGCTGAATGACAAGTTGTCAAAACAATCCAATAATGTATAAGCCAATGTTTCTCAAGCTGGGGGTCGGGACCCCTGGGGGGCCGCGAGGGGGTGACAGAGGGGTCGCCGAAGACCATCAGAAAACACAGTATTTTCTGTTGGTCATGGAGGTCTCTGTGTGGGAAGTCTGGCTCAATTCTGTCGTTGGTGGGGTTCAGAGTGCTCTTTGATTGTAGGTGAAGTATAAATCCCAGCAACTACAACTCCCAAATGTCAGGATTCTGTTTTCCCCAAACTCCACTAGCGTTCACATTTGGGCATATTGAGTGTTTGTGCCAAATATGGTCCAGATCCATCATTGTTTGATTCCACAGTGCTCTCTGGATGTAGGTGAACTACAATGCCCAAACTCAAGGTCAATGTCTACTAAACCCTTCCAGTATTTTATGTTGGGCATGGGAGCTCTATATGCCATGTTTGGTTCAATTCCATTGTTAGTGGAGTTCAGAATGCTCTTTGATTGTAGGCGAGCTATACATCCCAGCAACAACAACTCCTACATATCAAGTCTATTTTCCCCAAATTTCACCAGTGTTGACATGTGGGCATAGTTTGGTCCAGATCCATCATTGTTTGAGTCCACAGCGCTCTCTGGATGTAGGTAAACTACAATTCCCAAACTCAAGGACAATGCCCACCAAACCCTTCCAGTATTTTCTGTTGGTCATGAGAGTCCTGTGTGCCACATTTGGTTCAATTCCATCATTGGTGGAGTTCAGAATGCTCTTTGATTATAGGTGAACTATAAATCCCAGCAACTACAACTCCAAATGACAAAATCATAATTTTTAGAGTGATGGTCACTCCTTGTGTAGTGAGACGTTTTGTTGCCAAATTTGATGTGATTTCATTCATTGGTTCTTTTGTTTTTAAGGTACTCATTATGCACAGAGCATTTTTATATATATAGATGTCACGGCATTGAACGTTTGCCGTATCTATGTTGTGCCCTGTCCCGAGTCCCCTGGTTCAGGGTGAGAAGGGCGGAATATAAATGTTTTAAATAAATAACTCTTTCTGAATAATCCTAAAAGGCACATTTCTGGGTTTTTCTTAACCTTTTTGGTGACCATTTTATTTTCTTCAATAGCCAAACTTTTCCAAAAGTTTTGTACTATAGCGCAGGACCACCAGATGTCAACGAAAGAGCCTTCCAGTTTTCTCCTCGACAAGTTTTATCTATTTTGGCCATTTGCTTTGGAGTTATAGAGCTCCTGTAGAACATTTTATACATGTTTTATCTCACTGAATTGCTGGAACAGCTCAGCAAGAGAGAGTCCAAAAGTGGCAGGCTCAAACTCAGAACCTCAACCAATGGCTGATACCCAATGAGAGACTCCCCCCTGGGCACACAGAAAACTGGGTGACTTGGAAGGCGCTAAACAGATTGTGCTCTGGCACCACGAGATGCAGAGCCAGCCTTCAGAAATGTACTTACTTACTTACTTACTTACTTACTTAGGTGATCCCTCGTTGGACGAGTAAGATGGTCTTCCATTATGCATTTCCTTGTGGGTTCGTAGGTGGCTGTGGAGCCCTGTTCTTGACCTGCATCTTCTCCCACAGTGAAGGCATTAGTTTCCAGGTAGAAAGCGGTCCCGGTTGGGGTTAGCTTGACGCGCCTTCCTCCTGGCACGTTTCTCTCTTTCGCCCTCCATTCGTGCCTCTTCAAATTCTGCAGCACTGCTGGTCACAGCTGACCTTCAGATGGAGCGCTCAAGGGCCAGGGCTTCCCAGTACTCAGTGTCTATGCCAGAGATTTTAAGGTTGGCTTTGAGCCCATCTTTAAATCTCTTTTCCTGTCCTCCAACATTCCGTTTTCTGTTCTTAAGTTCAGAGTAGAGCAACTGCTTTGGGAGCCAGTGGTCAGGCATCCGGACAACGTGGCCGGCCCAGCGGAGTTGATGACAGAGGACCATCGCTTCAATGCTGTTGGTCTTTGCTTCTTCCAGCACGCTGACGTTTGTCCGCTTGTCTACCCAAGAGATTTGCAGGATTTTCTGGAGGCAGTGCTGATGGAATCATTCCAGGAGTTGCATGTGACGTCTATAGACAGTCCACGTCTCGCAGGCATAGAGCAGGGTTGGGAGGACAATAGCTTTGTAGACAAGCACCTTGGAATCCCTACGGATGTCCTGGTCCTCAAACACTCTTTGCTTCATTCGGGAAAATGCTGAACTCGCAGAGCTCACGCGGTGTTGTATTTCGGTGTCGATGTTGTCTTTGGTGGAGAGGTGGCTGCCAAGGGAGCGGAAATGGTCAACATTTTCTAATGTTACACCATTAAGCTGTATCTCTGGCATTGGAGAGGGATTGGCTGGTGACTGCTGGGAGAGCACTTTGGTTTTTTCGATGTTCAGTGACAGGCCAAGCTTCGTGTATGCTTCTGCAAAGGTGTTTAGAGTGGCTTGTAGAATCCACGACATGCGAGTGTGGAGAAGAGCACACCACTGACCACCTGCTGCAATGCAACCTGAGCCCCGCCACATACACAATGGAGGACCTTCTCGCAGCAACACCAGAGGCACTCCAAGTAGCCAGATAGTGGTCAAAGGACATTTAATCAACTACCAAGCTTGCAAACTTTGTGCTTTGTTTGTTAAAAAATGCAATACAACTGTTTGGTTTGCTCCTGACACGATATATAAATAAATATAGCTGCAGTGAATGGAAACTCCCCTTTCCAGAGATGTTCCTAATCCTACCTTCCGGGAGCCTCTTGACCACCACGGGCAGCTCCACCCACAAGGAGTTGATGGCGACCCAGGATCCCATCCCAAAGAGGGCCACCAGGAGGTGGGTGACCGCGACTCGGCCACTCAGCCAGGGAGACATCCTCTTCGCCTGGGAGGGGAGGAAACACACACACACACACAAGTAAACAATGAGTGCCGCCTTCATTTCCCACTCAGGCCCATGCATAGGCAACAGTCTCTTCTCATGCCTGCCTCCAAGACATTATCTAGGCCTCCGTAGCACCTGAAATTGTATTTATTTACATTATTTTCATTCTGCTTTTCCCTTGATCCAGGGACCTAAAAGAGGCCCTCAAGGATTTTCCTGAAGAAATGGTCTTTAGATGGCTTGAAAGGTTAAGCAAAGTCCTTTATTATTGAACAAATTAAACAGATATTTCTCAAATCTTCAGTGAGTCAGACAAATCCTTCAAGGCTTTAAATCAACTGGCAGCTTCCTTAGTCTTGTCCACAAGGGACAGGCAACGATCTTCGTTAACTGTTCTTATACTTTGAGAGGAAAGCCCTTTTTTAACCTCTCCCAAGTTGTCTGTTATCAACGTTTTGTTGGTGTGGGATCTACTACCGATTCCAAACTGCGTCTTGGTACCGAGTAAACCTACCAGACAAAGCCTGTAGATTCTCCAGCTGGAGTTCTTTAGGTCTGTAAAGCTGTTTTCCCTCTGAAATTTCTTTAAGACTTTAGGGCTGTTTCCCTCAGATGCTGTAAGGCTGAGAGGCTGCAAGCTCCCAGCCAGAGCTTTGGGAATTTCCCCCCAGAATGTCTGGAGAAACGAAGCTTTTCTGCAGGTGAAGCTTGTCCACGTCCTCTAACTTAGCTTTCCTCACTAAGACTAACTAAAAATGGCCCCCTCTTCCCTTCCCATTGCCCTGAACAAGGGTTGGAACCAAAACTTAACATTAATAGACAGGTGGCTTGCCCTATGACTGCAAACCAAAGGAAGCCACATTTTTGCAGAATCCCTGAAACTTTGGAATGCATGCAAACACTTAATAGAAGGAAAATAAAGTTGGAGCTCCTGATACAAACGTACCAGCACACAGGCTGTGATTGATGTACCTGAGCCTGTGCTTGAACCTGTGATTGTGTTTCAGTCTCCTGATGTTTCTGTGTCTGATGTGGGTAATGAGGAGGGAAATCAGTCCCCTGTTGTTTCTGATGTGGGGGATGCTGGGACTGACTCTGAGGTGCAAGATGGAGACACTTTGGTCAATGAGTTTCATGCAGACACTGACAGAGAGGCTTCAGTGCAAAGGGCAGATTCTCATGAGAATGCTTCTGTCAGGCCTTGGGAGAAAGGTTTACTCCCTCCGCCTGTGAGCTCTCCAGATTCTAGTTTGGAAAACAGTCTGACACCTGGTAAAGTTAATGAGGAGTTAGATAAGCAGAGTCAGTGGCTGGAGATTAGCCAGAATCGACAAGAGGCCCAATGTTTACGTAGATCCGAAAGAATTCGTCAATTAAAGTCAAAGACTGGGGGAAAACAAAACCAGTTTTTGGGATTTAAAGTTTGTCTGTAGAAAATCTTGTCAGATCAGGCATCATTTGGAAACCAAGTATAAGCCTCATGGAATCCCTGTTCAAGTGGTCTCGTCTTCATGGATTTTTCTAGCCTTTCAAGTTGACTAGCAGCGTCTGGTCTGTTCTTGCTTCTTGTTTGATTCCTGTCTGGATATCATTGCCTTGGATTATATGTTCATGTTTTTTGGATATTGTTTTTGATTGCTACATTTAGACACTGTTTTATCTTGCTGCCTTTGAATGCCTTATTGCTTTTTGGAACCTTATCTATCTTTACAAGCATTTATTTCTAGTGGCTTTTTTTGCTATGCTTTAATAAAAAGGATTGTTCCTTCACTCAACGTGTGGTGTGTTTATAGTCAGAGGAGCTATTTCCTGTTCTGGAGTGCAACACTAATAATAATTATGACACAATACTATTAAAACTGGAGAATCACTGACAGAGAGGCTTCGGTGCAAAGGGCAGATTCTCATGAGAATGTTCCTGTCAGGCCTTGGGAGAAAGTTTTACTCCCTCTGCCTGTGAGCTTTCCAGATTCTAGTTTGGCTTTTTTGCTAAGCTTTCATAAAAAGGATTGCTCCTTCACTCAACGTGTGGTCTGAGGGACTATTTCCTGTTCTGGAGTGCAACAATAATAACAATTATGACACAATACAATTAAAACTGGAGAATCATAAGGTTGGAAGGGACCCCAAGGATCATCCAATCCAACCCCTCTTCTTTTGGAAAATGGAAATCTCCAGATCCTTTTGGAGCTTTTATGATCTTTGGAAAGGCATGACGTTGTTAGACGTCATAACCTTTTGAAAAATGAAGCCATAACCTTTTGATAAAAATGGCCTTCATGCATGGCAATTAGGTTTCTTAGCTGTTAAACTGATGTACGTAGGTATGTCTTTGAACTGTCAGGGACAAAGATATGCCAATGCACAAAAAACATAGAGCAGAATTTCAGAAGTGTTTTTTTCAGTTGCCCCAAAATAATCTACTCTCCCTTAAAATATCTTGGTTTAAATCACGCTCTCAAGACACCAAAATAAGCAGTCTTCTTTAAAAGTAACATAGTTGGTTTACTCACAAACTTCATGTCTTCAGCATACAGGTACATTGCAGATCAGTCCAGTTACAAATAGGATTTGAAGTCGCTTCTTTGTGTAGGTAACACAGGGCATCTTGATTCTTATAATCCACAGTCCAAAGTCCAAAGCTTCTCTCTATTCTGAGTCTAATAGTATCTCTGTAGTCTGAAAGTCCAATGCAGTATAAACTGTACTGAGTTTGCTCTTAACAGTCCATAGTCTAAAATGGAGTCTGAGCACTGAGCAGTCTCAGATCTGATCGTGTGGTCTGCAGCCCCTCCCACATCCAACAGCAAACTCAGGTTGCTGTTGATTGTAATAAAGATGCCCTGTATTATCTGCACCAAGGAACCACTGTGACTGGATTGACAAGTCATGTACCTGTATGCTGAGACATGAAGGTTGTGAGTAAACCAAATATGTTACTTTTAATGAAGTCTACTTTATTTTTGTCTCTTGAGAGCTTGATATAGAAACAAGATGCTTTTTGGGAAAGTAGATATATGATTTTTGGGCACTGGATAGGAATAGTTCTGAAACTGCTGTTTTTGTGCATTGGCAAAATCTAGGATCTATCATTCTAGGATTCATGGAAAGAGGGGAAAGGCCAAGAGTGGGGTAATAGTGTTGTGGTTCAGCAACAGCATGATGGGTCTGAGAGTGCAAGTGGGCATGATGGGAATGGGAATACAGATGCAGGTGTGGGATTTCAGATTTCTCAGCCACAGTTTGTAGCTAGAGAGAAACGCTTGTTCTCACAGCCAAAGAATGTGGCTGATAAGACGCTCGGTGAAGGTCGGAGCAGCAAGCTCCAGGTGTTAAGAAGAAGCGGGAGGATTGCGGCCAAATCTTGAGGCCATCTGCTGGTGGGAAAATTGCTTGTTAGTGGATTGTTTTAGTTTCATGTTTTGATGTTTCAACTATAAGTATGCTGCTGGAAAGCTGGTTCAGTGTCTGTTCAACTTTGCTAGAATGGATCACTGTACCTACGGCCCAGGGCTTGGGCCTGGGGGGATTGCCTGCTTCCTGTAACTTCATGCTACTGCCTGGAATGTATCCTGCTCCTTTGCCTCAAGTTCCTGCTTTGATTTAAGAAATCCTATTGAACCTATATTTTGTACTTTGGAACTTTTACTGCTTTTACCTGGATTTGTTTGAAACCTCAATAAACTATTTTCTTCTCAAGCTTGGCTGGTTTGTCAGAGAGCAAGGTGAAGCTAATCTGAGACGCAACAAATAGTACCTTTGCTGAATGGAGATCTCCGGTCGCGGAAGGCAAAGAAGGACTGGGTCTTGTGGCCGGAGCTACAAAGGGAGTTCCTCAGGGGCACCGCTGCTCATCCCTATGGAAAGGAAACATCATGAAGAGGTGAGATGAGAGCCACCTGCAAGCATCTGCGGGGATGTCATGTGGACAACGGAGACAGGTCGTTTCCTGCTGCTCAAGAGGACAGGACACAAAGCAACAGATTCAAATGGCAAAACATTAGTATTATTGTCGAAGGTTCTGAAGATGCCAGCTGCAGATGGAGGCGAAACATCAGGAGAAAATGCTGCTTGAACACGGCCATACAGTCCAGAAACCACACAACACCCCGTTGTTATCACCACCACCATCATCAACATCAGTGTTGTATGTCAGCCTGTGATTATGTCTGATGATCATGTTGATTTTCATGATGGGAATTGGGAATGTTGTGCATGTTGATGTTCCGGAAGGGAATGGGGATGTTGCCTCACCAAACGACAGCTCCCAAGACTCCACAGGTCTTATGTTATATATATTTCAATAGTCTCTTATCATTCTGTTTTAACCCTACTGTAATCCAAACTATAGGGAGTAATGGGATATATGGGGTGTGTGTATACACACACACACACATACACACATACTAGCCGTCCCCTACCACGCATTGTTGTGGCCCAGTCTGTGTATATGTGTTTTGGGTAAAATATTGCAACAGGTATGAATATATGAAATGTCTTTTTTTAGACAATACAGTCTCCTCTTGTGCAGTTTTGTGCATGTGGTTTTGCGCATGCGTTGCAATGTATTTTTTTTAATTTTGGAGCTTTTCAATTCTCTTCTACAGTATTTTTCAGTGTTTTTATGAGTGATAGTGACTTGTTGGTCTGTTAGGTGTCTTGTGTCCAAATTTGGTGTCAATTCATCCAGTGGTTTTTGAGTTATGCTAATCCCACAAACGAACATTACGTTTTTATTTATTTATTTATTTATTTATTTATTTATTTCATCTACTTATACCCCGCCCTTCTCACCCCGAGGGGGACTCAGGGCGGCTTACAGGAAAGGCACAATTAGATGCCCAAAACACACAACAAACAATACAAAATATAACAATTCAACAATTAAAATAAAACATCAATACCTAATAAAATCATAAAACTATCTCATGTCAGAGTCCATATATCAGAGTCCATATATCCATTCCATTCCATTGTCCTTGTCTATCGACAGGTCCTTTAGTTAGTTGTCAGCATGGCCAAAAGCTTGGTCCCACATCCAGGTCTTTAGTTTTTTCCTAAACGCTAGAAGGGAAGTCGTCGATCTGATCTCCCCGGGAGTGAGTTCCACAGGTGAGGGGCCACCACTGAGAAGGCCCTGCTCCTCATCCCCGCCAATCTCACTTGTGATAGAGGCGGGGCCGAGAGCAGGGCCTCCCCAGAAGATCTTAAACTTCGAGGTGGGATGTAGAGGGAGATCCGTTCGGACAGATACACTGGGCCGGAACCGTATAAGGTTTTGTAGGTCAAAACCAGCACTTTGAATTGTGCTCGGAATTGGATCGGCAGCCAGTGGAGCTGACGCAACAGGGGGGTGGTATGCTCCCTGTACGCCGCTCCGGTGAGCAATCTGGCTGCTTCTCGCTGGACTAGTTGAAGTTTCCGAGCAGTCTTCAAAGGCAACCCCACGTAGAGTGCGTTGCAGTAATCCAACCGGGATGTGACAAGAGCATGGACCACTGTGGCCAGATCCGACTTCCCAAGGTACGGGCGCAGCTGGCGCACAAGTTTTAATTGTGCGAAAGCTCTCCCGGCCACCGCTGAGACCTGGGGTTCCAGGCTCAGCGATGAGTCCAGGATCACTCCCAAGCTGCGAACCTGCGTCTTCAGGGGGAGTGTAACCCCGTCTAACACAGGCTGTAACCCTATACCCTGTTCGGCCTTACGACTGACCAGTAGGACCTCTGTCTTGTCTGGATTCAATTTCAATTTTTTAGCTCTCATCCAGTCCGATACAGTAGCCAAGCACCGGTTCAAGGTCTGGACAGCCTCCTTGGTGACAGGTGGGAAGGAGTGACAGATTTGGACATCATCTGCATAGAGATAACATCTTAGTCCGAAACTCCGAATGATCTCTCCCAGCGGCTTCATGTAGATGTTAAATAACATCGGGGACAAGATTGACCCCTGTGGGACTCCACACAACAACGGTTGTGGGGCCGAACAGGTGTCACCCAGTAACACCTTCTGGGTCCGTCCCTCAAGGAAGGATCGAAGCCACCGCAGAGCAGTGCCTCCGAGCCCCATATCCATGAGGCGGCCCAGAAGGATACCGTGATCGACGGTATCGAAGGCCGCTGAGAGGTCCAGCAGAACTAACAGGGACACACTCCCCCTGTCTAGCTCCCTGCGTAGATCATCTACCAGGGCGACCAAGGCTGTCTCAGTTCCAATCCCACAAACAAACATTACATTTTTATTTATATAGATTAGCCGTCCCCTGCCACGCATTGCTGTGGCCCACATGGGGGTTCTGTGTGGGAGGTTTGGCCCAATTCTATCGTTGGTGGGGTTCAGAATGCTCTGTGATTGTAGATGAACTATAAATCCCAGCAACTACAACTCCCAAATGTCAAGATTCTATTTTTCCCCACGTTGCTGTGGCCCACATGGGGGTTCTGTGTGGGAGGTTTGGCCCAATTCTATCATTGGTGGGGTTCAGAATGCTCTATGATTGTAGGTGAACTATAAATCCCAGTAACTACAACTCCCAAATGTCAAGATTCTATTTTCTCCAAACTCCACCAGTGTTCACATTTGGGCATATTGAGTATTCGCATAGAGTTTGGTCCAGATCCATCATTGTTTGAGTCCACAGTGCTTTCTGGATGGAGGTGAACTACAACTCCAAAACCAAAGGACACTGCCCACCAAACCCTTCCAGTATTTTCTGTTGGTCATGGGAGAACTGTGTGCCAAGTTTGGTTCAATTCCATCGTTGGTGGGGTTCAGAATGCTCTTTGATTGTAGGTGAACTATAAATCTCAGCAAGTACAACTCCCAAATGTCATGGTCGTTTCCCCCCAAACTCCACTAGTGTTCACATTTGGGCATATTGAGTATTCGTGCCAAGTTTGGTCCAGATCCATCATTGTCTGAGTCCACAGTGCTCTCTGGATGTAGGTAAACTATAACTCCCAAACTCAAGGTCAATGCACACCAAACCCTTCTAGTGTTTTCTGTTGGACAGGGGGGCTCTGTGTGCCAAGACTGGTTCAATTCCATCATCAGTGGAGTTCAGAATGCTCTTTGATTGTAGGTGAACTATAAATCCCAGTAACTATAGCTCCCAAATTTCAAGGTCTATTTCCCTCAAACGCCATCTGTATTCATCTGTAGTTTTTGAGTTATGTTAATCCCACAAATGAACATAACATTTATAGGGATGAGAAAAGCGGTATATAAATACTGTAAATAAATAAATAGATAGATGTATAAATATTCTAGAACATGGCCTCCCCTGATGGCTCCATCAGGCGGTTTATGGTCTATCCTCTTGTGCAGAGCTGTGACAATCCCATTTAACTCCCAACTACAATAAACCCAAGACGAAGGCTGCCTCAGTTTCTCTTTGTTGGAGGGAATGAAGAAGGCACACTTCCATGTTTCGCCACAGGATGGCAGTTTCACCAATTGCATATTTGGCCAAGGGGACAATCGGAAATCATAGAATCAAAGAGTTGGAAGAGACCTCGTTGGCCATCCAGTCCAACCCCATTCTGCCAAGGAGCAGGAATATTGCATTCAAAGCACCCCTGGTAGATGGCCATCCAGCCTCTGTTTAAAAGCTTCCAAAGAAGGAGCCTCCACCACACTCCTGGGCAGAGAGTTCCACTGCTGAACGGCTCTCACAGTCAGGAAGTTCTTCCTCATGTTCAGATGGAATCTCCTCTCTTGTAGTTTGAAGCCATTGTTCCGTGTCCTAGTCTCCAGGGAAGCAGAAAACAAGCTTGCTCCCTCCTCCTCCCTGTGGCTTCCTCTCACATATTTATACATGGCTATCATATCCCCTCTCAGCCTTCTCTTCTTCAGGCTAAACATGCCCAGCTCCTTAAGCCGCTCCTCATAGGGCTTGTTCTCCAGACCCTTGATCATTTTAGTCGCCCTCCTCTGGACACATTCCAGCTTGTCAATATCTCTCTTGAATTGTGGTGCCCAGAATTGGACACAATATTCCAGGTGTGGTCTAACCAAAGCAGAATAGATGGGGTAGCATGACTTCCCTAGATCTAGACACTATGCTCCTATTGATGCAGGCCAAAATCCCATTGGCTTTTTTTGCCGCCACATCACATTGTTGGCTCATGTTTAATTTGTTGTCCACGAGGACTCCAAGATCTTTTTCACACGTACTGCTCTCGAGCCAGGCATTGTCCGCCATTCTGTATCTTTGCATTTCATTTTTTCTGCCAAAGTGGAGTATCTTGCATTTGTCCCTGTTGAACTTCATTTTGTTAGTTTTGGCCCATCTCTCTAATCTGTCACGATTGTTTTGAATTCTGCTCCTGTCCTCTGGACTATTGGCTCTCCCTCCCAATTTGGTGTCGTCTGCAAACTTGATGATCCTGCCTTCTAGCCCTTCATCTAAGTCATTAATAAAGATGTTGAACAGGACCGGGCCCAGGACGGAACCCTGCGGCACTCCACTTGTCACTTCTTTCCAAGACGAAGAGGAAGCATTAGTGAGCACTCTCTGTGTTCATCCACTTAACCAATTCCAGATCCACCTCACACAGAAAAGCAATCCCTTAGTCAACACCTTTAGGATGAACAAACAGCGGTCTTGCAGATCACATTTGCAAGTGACTACTATTATCGTTATTTTTATTTATACCCCACTTTATTTATACCCCACCAGACAATTTCATGGTCCAGAAGGTAGAAGAGGTAACAAGGGGGTTGGCTACTTTTGATCTCATCCTAACAAATGTGGAGGACCTGATCGATGCGGTCGAAGTGGTCAGATCCTTAGGGGCAAGTGACCATGTGCTCCTGCAATTTGAGGTACAAAGGAAGGCCAAAACTAAGACAAGTCAAACCCGCATTTTGGACTTTAGGAGAGCTGATTTCCGTGCAGCATTCCGTGGACACAGATACTAAAAGACAAGGGAGTTGCGGATGGATGGGAATTTCTCAAGAGTGAAATACTCAAGGCGCAATTGCAAACCGTGCCAACGAAGAGAAAAAATAGGACAAGTGCAAAGAAGCCAGAATGGATGTCCAAAAAACTTCTAACTGCTAAAACACAAAAGAGACATGCACAAGAAGTGGAAAAAGGGAGAAATCACCAAAGAAGAATTCAAACAAATAGCCAACACCTGTAGGGAAAAGGTCCGCAAGGCCAAAGCACAAAATGAGCTCAGGCTTGCTGGAGCTGACAGAGGGAGCTCATCTGTGCTCTCCCCGGATTCAAACCTCCGACCTGTTGGTCCTCAGTCCTATCTCTCCAAATGAAAAACAATTTTAACCAACCAGTTTCTCCCATGTAGTAAATGCACAAATCAAAGCACCCCAACAAATGCCCATCCAGCCTTTGCAACAACAACAACAACAACAACAACAGGATCAACTCCAGGGACCTCCCAGTCCCACCAGTTTCTCCCATGCAGTAAATGCACAAATCAAAGCACCCCAACAGATGACCATCCAGCCTTTGCAACAACAACAACAACAACAGGATCAACTCCAGGGACCTCCCAGTGCCACTAGTTTCTCCCATGCAGTAAATACACAAATCAAAGCACTCATAATGGATGACCATCCAGCCTTTGCAGCAGCAGCAACAACAACAACAACAACAACAACAACAACAGGATCAACTCCAGGGACTCCCAGTGCCACCAGTTTCTCCCATGCAGTAAATACAGAGATACAGCTTAATAGTGTAACATTAGAAAATGTTGATCATTTCCGCTCCCTTGGCAGCCACCTCTCCACCAAAGTCAACATTGACACTGAAATACCACAATGTCTGAGCTCCGCGAGTGCAGCATTTTTCCGAATGAAGCAAAAAATGTTTGAGGACCAGGACATCCATACGGATATAATCCGTATGGATATAAAGCTATTGTCCTCCCAACCCTGCTACATGCCTGCGAAACATGGACTGTCTACAGACGTCAATATTGACACAGAAATACAACACCGCCTGAACTCTGCGAGTGCAGCATTCTTCCGAATGAAGCAGAGAGTGTTTGAGGACCAGGACATCCGTAGGGAGACCAAGGGGCTTGTTAATAAAGCTATTGTCCTCCCAACCCTGCTATACGCCTGCGAAACATGGACTGTCTATAGACGCCAACATTGACACTGGAATACAACACCGCCTGAGCTCTGTGAGTGCAGAATTTTTCCAAATGAAGCAGAGAGTGTTTGAGGACCGGGACATCCGTAGGGAGATCAAGGTGCTTGTTTATAAAGCTATTGTCCTCTCAACCCTGCTATACGCCTGCAAGACGTGGACTGTCTACAGACATCACATGCAACTCCTAGAACGATTCCATCAGCGCTGCAAATACTGCAAATCTCTTGGGAAGACAGGTGGACAAACGTCAGCGTGCTGGAAGAAGCAAAAACCACCAGCATTGAAGCGATGCTCCTCCGCAATCAACTCCGCTGGACCGGCCACGTTGTCCTTATGGCCCATCACCGTCTCCCACAGCAGTTGCTCTATTCCGAACTCAAGAATGGAAAACGGAGTGTTGGTGGACAGGAAAAGAGATTGAAAGATGGGCTCAAAGCCAACCTTGAAAACTCTGGCATAGACACTGAGAACTGGGAAGCCCTGGCCCTTGAGCACTCCAGCTGGAGGTCAGCTGTGACCAGCAGTGCTGCAAAATTTGAAGAGGCATGAATGGAGGATGAAAGAGAGAAACATGCCAAGAGGAAGGTGCATAAAGCCCACCCCGACCGGGACTGCCTTCCACCTGGAAACCGATGCCCTCACTGCAGAAGGGAGAACATGCGGGTCAAGAATAGGGCTCCACAGCCACGTACGGACTCACCTTGGAGGATTACCTAAGTAAGTAATTAAGCCCACCCAGCCCTCTTTTATGGATACTCACCTATTCACCGATGGGAAAGTTGGAGTCTAGGTTGGAGCGAAGGCACGGCTGACACAGGACGGCTTCCCTTCCCCAGGTAAATGATTGCATTTGGTAAGAAACCAAGGAAGCCCAAGGCTGGTCTCCTCTTGCTCACAACAAGCAGGAAGGGGGAACATTCCCAACTTTCCTGGGGAAATTCCAGCCCCAACAAGCAAACAGTTTCCTCCCCTTCAGCACATTTGTGCACCGTCCAACGGATGGGCCTCCTCCGCAGGGAGCGTTGCCCAGCAATCGCTCCCCGAATCTCTTCCCAAATAAGAAGAGACAAGGAGGGGAAGGGTGGCATTCAATGGCAAGGATCCCAGCCTGGGAGACACACCTTCCACTCCATGCATTTAATTGGATTTAATTTGCACCCTGCTTTTCTCGAGGCAGTTCATAATATATTTAAAAGCAATACAGGCTGCAGCAGGCATGGGCAAGCTTTGGCCCAAAATCCAGGTGTTTTGGATTCCAGCTCCCACAATTCCTAACAGCCTAAAGGTAAAGGTAAAGGTAGTCCCCTGACATTAAGTCCAGTCATGTCTGACTCTGGGGTGTGGTGCTCATCTCCATTTCTAAGCCGAAGAGCCAGCGTTGTCCATAGACACCTCCAAGGTCATGTGGCCGGCATGATTGCATTGAGCGCCGTTACCTTCCCGCCGGAGCGGTACCTATTGATCTACTCACATTTGCATGTTTTCGAACTGCTAGGTTGGCAGAAGCTAGGGCTGACAGCGGAAGCTCACGCCGCTCCCCGGAATCGAACCTGCGACCTTTCGATCAACAAGCTCAGCACCTCAGTGCTGTAACCCACTGCGCCACCGGGGGCTCCTTCCTAATAGCCTACCGCGTGGTTATTGGGGTTTGTGGGTCCGTGGCATGGGTGGAAGGAGTAGCACGGAGGAACCAAAGCACTTGATGGCCTGCATCAATAGGAGCCTAGTGTCTAGATCTAGGGAAGTCATGCTCCCCATGCTCTCTTCCGCTTTGGTTAGACCACATCTGGAATATTGTGTCCAATTCTGGGCACCACAATTCAAGAGAGATGTTGACAAGCTGGAATGTGTCCAGAGGAGGGCGACTCAAGTGATCAAGGGTCTGGAGAACAAGCCCTATGAGGAGCGGCTTAAGGAGCTGGGCATGTTTAGCCTGAAGAAGAGAAGGCTGAGAGGAGATATGATGAGAGCTATGTATAAATATGTGAGAGGAAACTACAGGGAGGAGGAGGGAGCAAGCTTCCTTTCTGCTTCCTTGGAGACTAGGACGCAATGGAAGAGTGGCTTCAAACTACAAGAGAGGAGATTCCATCTGAACATGAGGAAGAACTTCCTGACTGTGAGAGCCGTTCAGCAGTGGAACTCTCTGCCCCTGAGTGTGGTGGAGGCTCCTTCTTTGGAGGCTTTTAAACAGGGGCTGGATGGCCATCTGTCAGGGGTGATTTGAATGCAATATTCCTGCTTCTTGGCAGAAAGGGGTTGGACTGGATGATGGCCCAGGAAGTCTCTTCCAACTCTTTGATTCTAGGATTCTAAGGGGGTTGTTTAAAAAGCGATTGTCCTCCCAACCCTGCTATATGCCTGCGAAACATGGACTACCTACAGATGTCAATACCGCCTGAGCTCTGCGAGTACAGCATTTTTCCGAATGAAGCACAGAGCGTTTGAGGACTGGAACATCTGTAGGGAGACCAAGGGCCTTGTTGATAAAGCCATTGTCCTCCCAACCCTGCTATACGCCAGCGAAACGTGGACTGTCTACAGACATCAATATTTTACACTGAAATACAACACTGCCTAAGCTCTGCAAGTGCAGTTTTTTCCAAATGAAGCAGAGAGTGTTTGAGGACTGAGACATCTGTAGGGCGACCAAGGGCCTTGTTGATAAAGCAATTGTCCTCCCAACCCTGCTATACGCTTGCGAAACGTGGACTGTCTACAGACATCACATGCAACACCTAGAACGACTCCATCACCGTTGCCTCTGGAAAATCCTGCAAATTTCTTGGGAAGACAGGTGAACAAATGTCAGCGTGCTGGAAGAAGCAAAGACCACCAGTATTGAAGCAATGGTCCTCCGCCATCAACTCCGCTGGACCAGCCACGTTGTCCAGATGCCTGACAAATGTCTCCTAAAGCAGTTGCTCTACTCCAAACTCAAGAACGGAAAACAGAATGTTGGTGGGCAGGAAAAGAGATTGAATAATGGACTCAAAGCCCACCGAGAACTGGGAAGCCCTGGCCCTTGAGCGCTCCAGCTGGAGGTCAGCTGTGACCAGCAGTGCTGCAGAATTTGAAGAGGCACGAATGGAGGGTGAAACAGAGAAATGTGCCAAGAGGAAGGCGCGTCAAGCCAACCCCGACTGAGACCACCTTCCACCTGGAAACCGATGCCCTCACTGTGGGAGAAGATGCAGGTCAAGAATAGGGCTCCATAGTCACCTACGGACCCACCGCCAGGACACTGATCATGGAAGACTATCCTACTCGGACAATGAGGGATCGCCTAGGTAAGTAAGTACGAGAGATGGGGGAAGGGAATTCTCTCAGCCTGTACTAAACTAACTGCTCCTCACTGGGGACTTGAGACTTGGGCAGTGTGGGGTTGAATCCCAACAACTGGAACATGGTCATGCAGCACGGAAATCTCACAACAACCCAGCGGTGGAATAATCGGACTGAGTTTTAAGGTCTTACCTGCTGCGAGAAATTTGAGGTACAGCCTCCTTTGCAAAGCCATGGAGACGAGCGCATCATCTCGGAAGTCAAATGTCCAAATCTAGCATTTCCCGTTGCCTTTCTGACGATCCCAAAATCACGTTTCCCATCAGACGCAGAACCTGAAGCACACCTGCACACGTGGCAACATAGAGACCCTGCATTGGGAGAAAGGCAGGATAAAACTCTATATAAATAGAATACATTTTAAAAATAAAATTTCAAATGGAACCTGAATACTATTTACTAGGGATGCTAGATATGAAAAAACAAACAAAAATGAAGACATTTTATTCAATTACTAGCTGTCCACATCATCATCATCATGAGGAGACAGGAAAGCCTAGAGAAGACAATTATGCTGGGGAAAGTGGAAGGCAAAAGGAAGAGGGGCCGACCAAGGGCAAGATGGATGGATGGCATCCTTGAAGTGACTGGACTGAGCTTGAGGGAGCTGGGGGTGGTAACGGCCGACAGGGAGCTCTGGCGTAGGCTGGTCCATGAGGTCACGAAGAGTCGGAGACGACTGAACGAATGAACAACAACAACAAAGCTGTCCCCTGCCACGCGTTGCTGTGGCCCAGTCTGTGTATATGTGTTTTGTGCGTGTGTATATATGTGTGTTTACACCTTTATGAAGGGCCCCCAGTGGCGCAGTGGGTTAAAGCACTGAGCTGCTGAGCTTGTTGATCGAAAGGTCGCAGATTTGATTCCGGAGAGCGGCGTGAGCTTCCGCTGTCAGCCCTAGCTTCTGCCAACCTAGCAGTTCGAAAACATGCAAATGTGAGTAGATCAATAGGTACCGCTCCGGTGGGAAGGTAACGGCGCTCAATGCAGTCATGCCGGCCACATGACCTTGGAGGTGTCTACGGACAACGCTGGCTCTTCGGCTTAGAAATGGAGATGAGCACCACACCTCAGAGTCAGACATGACTGGACTTAATGTCAGGGGACTACCTTTACCTTACCTTTACACCTTTATGTGTAGTTTTGTGCATGTGTTGTAATGTATTTTTGGGTGTGTTTTTTTTTTTGGCTTTTTAAGTCTCTTACGCTGTGTTTTTTTAGTGTTTTTATGAGTGATGGTCACTCGTTGGCCTGGTAGGTGTATTGTGTCCGAATTTGGTGTCAATTCATCCAGTGGTTTTTGAGTTATGTTAATCCCACAAACTAACATAACATGACACACACAAACATAGCCATCCCCTGCCACGAATTGCTGTGGCCCAGTCTGTATATGTGTTTTGTGTGTGTATATATTTGTGTATATATTTATATATGTGTGTTTGTGTATATATGTATATGTGGTTTTGCACATGCGTTGTAATTTTTTTTTGGTTTTTGGCTTTTAAAATCAATTTTGCTGTGTTTGTCAGTGTTTTAATGAGTAATGGTCACTCAAATGACAAAATGAATTTTTTTGAGTGAAGGGCATACATTGGGTTGTTAAGTGTCTTGTATCCAAATTTGGTGTCAATTCGTCCAGAGGTTTTTGAGTTCTGTTAACCACACAAACGGACATTACTTTTAAAATTTATATCAGTGTTTCTCAACCTGGGGATCGCGACCCCTGAAGGGGTCATGAGGGGGTGCCAAAGGGGTCGCCAAAGACCATCAGAAAACATAGTATTTCCTGGTGTTCATTGGGATTCTGTGTGGGAAATTTAACCCAATTCTATTGTTGGTCGAGTTCAGAATGCTCTTTGATTGTAGGTGAACTATAAATCCCAGCAACTACAACTCCCAAATGTCAAGGTCTACTTTCCCCAGACTCTACCAGTGTTCACATTTGGGCATACTGAGTATTTGTGCCAAGTTTGGTCCTGATCCATCCTTGTTTGCATCCACCTGGATGTAGGTGAACTACAACTCCAAAACCAAAGGACACTGCCCACCAAACCCTTCCAGTATTTTCTGTTGGTCATGGGAGAACTGTGTGCCAAGTTTGGTTCAATTCCATCGTTGGTGGGGTTCAGAATGCTCTTTGATTGTAGGTGAACTATAAATCCTTGCAACTACAACTCCCAAATGACAAAATCATTTTTTGAGTGAAGGACATACATTGGGTTGTTAGGTGTCTTGTGTCCAAATTTGGTGCCAATTCGTCCAGTGGTTTTTGAGTTCTGTTAAACCCACAAACGAACATTACATTTTTATTTATATAGATGAGTACAGCAGCCAGAATTGTATATGCAAAAAAATGGAAGACCAAAGAAATTCCAACAGAAGAAGAGTGGAAATGAAAGATATTGGTCATAACGAACATGGATAAACTCACTTATTTTTTGAAAACACACCAAGGCAAACCCAAAAGGCCTATGGATTGGACTTTATTGCATAATTTTTTGAATGCAAAAAGTAAAGACGCAATTACCATAATACACCTATCAGGCCAACGAGTGACCATTGTAAAGATCCCTTACCTTGCCAGCCAGGGTGGCAGGGCCAGGAGGAGACAGGCTAGGTAGTTTCAGCTTAGAGGGCCTGGCGGAGAGCTGCTGGAGCCATCTTAGTTT